CATTCATGTATAAGTCTGATCCTCGACATCGTCTGATTGATTGATCGTCTGTTTTGATGTCGATTCTTCTCCAATTTATTGTTATTCTTGAAAAGGTTAGTAAATCTAATACTAGTGGAATATTATTTTTCTAACACAAATATGCATTGCAAGCATAACTAGTTCTTCTCTCTTTCGGTAATATTGACGCTCGAAACTGATCGATAACGACCGTCAATATATGCCTAGATTCATTAACATCTATATGAATATGAGCAATGCTAGAAAGTCTTACATTGTGAAACGGATGAAGTATTAGAGATGGTTCGGCTTGTTACAAAGCCACAAAGGCTATGTGAAATGAATATATGTGCTGCGTTAAATGGAAAAACTAAAAGAACACAACGTTTAATATTTTTTGGTGACACATGACAAGTGCACTCGAAAACTTTTGTTTGCTTATGATTGCAATTCTTAAGGCCCACTTTTAAGCTTATTCACCAGGTTATTGATAGTTAAAACGAATTATTTATTTCACACTTAAAAAAAGTATGTGTTCTTGAAAAAAAATTCTACTACTTCATTACTCAGGCCTACTTGTTTTAAGTTATTTGTAAGTTCTTATTAAAATATTTAATTTATCAATATAATTATGTATGTAGATAATCTATGACAGTAATATAATGTGTTCAATAATCTAAATAAATGGTCCCCTATTTACTCGTAGCTTCTTGTAAAATCTTTTTGTCAAGCTTGTGCATTTTTCCCACATGGATATGCAAGACGAAAAGCAGAAGTCTGATCTATCTGGGTCAACGATTCCATGACCAAAATGAATACTATGATCAGATCGGATGCTAAACTTGAGCTTCCTGTTTTGTGTAGCTTTGCAGCTGCTGCGGTGCTGTCTGCTCAGTCAGTGTCTTTGGACCTCAGCAAAAGCTTTTTGCTGGCCTGACAACAAGAATCGCACTTGTGCATCTCCTGGCCATTTTTAATTTCTACTGGCGTCTTCCACTAGAGTATTTTGCTAGCTTTTGCAAACAAACAAACAAACAATTGTGAACCTTAAACCAAACTTTCATATATAACTTCATTGCACAAGATCGAGTATCGAGTTGTATATATCAGTACCTTAGGCCTATTGATCCGATGAACTGACAAACCGTTACCTCCAAGTGATTAACATTTCAAAATTTACAAACTTTTGAATTGGACATAATTGTGATTTGAAGAAATTTTTTTATCTGTCCAGGTGCGGTATGGAACTATACATATACAAATTGCATACTATCTCAAAACGTACTTGATGTTCAGACTTCAGAGTGACTAAATCAGTTAGGAAAGTTCACTTTAGGTCCCTCAATTAGTCGACGAGTTTGAAATTCATCCTTAAACCGCAATCCCAGATATGATGCGTCCTTCAACTTCCGAAACCAGTGCAAATAACGTTCTAAGGTGGTTTGGATAGCGGTTTTGGCTGATGTGGCACCCACGTGGCTGCTTTGACTTGGTCCGCGTCCTACATGACGGTGATGTGGTACATGAAGCAAATTATAATCTTTATTTAGGTGGGGCCCACATGTCAGTTAGACAAAAGATAAACGGACCGACATGTCAGTGGGTCCCACCCTTCTCTCTATCTCAAAATACAGTGGTGCCTCCTCCGCTCTCTCCGGCCGTCTCTCCTCCCGCCTCTTCTCCCTCTTGCGGCGACGACGCATCGCACTGGATTCCAGCCGCCGCTCGCGCCTGCGCTGCCACCTGAACCCGGAGCTCCGACCGAGGACGTGCGTGACGAGGTCCTTGCGGCTGGCGCGCGAGCACATCTTCGGCGGTGGGTGGCCGGTGAGGCGACGAGGAGCATCCGCATCGCTCCCCTGCGGCATCCTCAACCGCCACCGTGGCATGGGGAAAGAGGGGAGAGGAGGCGGCGGCGGGCTGGACTGCGCGGCTTCTTCGTCGTCCTTACCTCCGGATCTGCGCGTGGATCGAGAAAGCCTGACGACGGCACGTGGCTATAACAGCGAGGGGAAGACGAAGGGGCCGCGACGAGGGGAGAAGGGTGGGGAGGAGGGCGGCGAAGGCCTCCCGTGGCGCCTGCTTCTTCGCGGGGAGGTCAGTGATGGCGACCTCCATCGCCTCCATCGCCACCGAGGAGCACACCGCGGTCATCCTCATCCCCGCGCCGCCGGCGCTGCCAGGGGCTCTGGGTGGCGTGACGGAGGTCACAGCCGAGAAGGAGAGGAGGTGGTGGCGACGCCCGCCGCGGAGGCCAAGGCGCAGCAGGAGTCGGCGTCGGCGGGGCCGAAGTCGCGCAGATCGATCTTGCGATGCAGTAGGAGTCGGGCAGTCGGCGCCGGCGAGGCAGAGGTCATGCAGCTCCTCTCCCACCGGCTGCCGCGCGCCACTCTCTCCTCTCCCGCTCTCGCCGGCCGCTGCGAGCCCCTCCTCTCCCACCGGGTGGCGCGCGCCGCTGCCACCCCATCGCACCCAGAGAGAGGAGAGGGGAGAGAGACAAGAGAGAGAGGGGAGATGGGGAGAGAGGAGGAAGTAGATGGATTGAGGATGACATGTGGGACCCACGTGGGTCCCACCATTTTTTATTATTTTATGTGTGAAACTGACATGTGGGTCCCATGGGTTTTATTATTTTTCCAGATTGAATTGCCACGTAAGCGCCACATCAACGCTACATCAGATGAAGACAGTCAAATTAGCCACGTATGTGCCATTTCAGCCAAAACCGCCATCTAAACCGCCGAGGGAGACCTTGTCTCAAATAAACACCTCAAATGGTCAAATTTCATATTACCATTGAGTCCTGATTATTTCCAGATCAAGCCATCATGCAAAAGTTAAAATGCTTCCATCAATTCCCCACAACCAAAGTAGTACAAGCCAGTATATATTTACCCTAAGGCCTCCATGATGTAAGCTTCAATTTTCTTATACCTACGGACATCCTCAAATATAAAACACAACTCCAAAAGGCATGCCTTCCATCTGACAAATCCAGGGATAAAATCTCAATTGCTGGCACCTTGGTTATGTCTTCCATCGAGTACGGACACCACCCATGATCTACACAATCACAATCAACATGGTCTCATAAACATAAATTTAGCAAAAGACAAAAGATCAAATTAAACTTTCAACACTTTAGCCAAATGCATGTTGAAAATGACAAATATTCATGACTGGAAAGAGTATCTACTAAAAAATAAAATCAGATTATGGGCCTCAACTTTTTATTTTACTATGCAATAAGGAAATGTAGAAACTATAATACTTCCTAAATACAAACCAATAGCACACTGGATTTTTCATGCTAACAATTAAAAGATGGAAATTAAACATACCCAATGATGGAGATTAAACCTGTAGCCTCAAGAAGCTACAGGTGACAGGCTGACTGCTACAAGACCTGAGCGAAGCAACATGAATCTGAGTTTTGCATAGGCAGAACAACATAAATTATCAGCAGTGTCTTACTCCATATTCCTCCCATTCAAGCAGATCCAGAACCTCCAAAATATCACATATTTCACCACAACAGTTGTTACAATAGTTAAAATGATAAAATTTCTGAATGAAGAATCACGTACACTACCAAAGTATTTTAATAATGTTGGAGTATTTTAATAATGTTGAAAAATAATGTTGTGTAAAGGTCAAAGAAATTCAAAACCAAAACATGCTTCACGGCTAGATTTGACTACAATAACCTCGAATCAAACAACTCATAAAGGATTTTTGCTGGAAGCATAAGTTGATCAACTGTCAATTAAACTTAACTCTAATTTGTACAAATGTATATAGGAAAAAGCAACAGAAACCAATGTATTCTAGCAAATCCTCTGTCAGATTGAAGAGTTAAGAAATATATATTTATTCATAAAAATGGCCAATACTTTTTCTATCAAAGGCTACCTTTCTAAAATGGCTCATTCCGGATAGTTCCTAACCAGATTCTAAGCAGCCAGAAACCCTGACATTTCTATCTATCAGCTTGTGACATTCCTATAAACCAGTTCAATTCACTCCAACGAATCTAACTGCATGTGCTTCTTCAACAAGTTCTGGATCCTATCCCAACCTGAAAGCAAAAGACATCTAAATCACACATGCTCAAAACCAGACTGCCGAACAAATTGCAAATGTCTTCAAAAGATTTGAGATGACAACTAAATTGAGTTAACTGTCAATAAATTACATATTTCAGTATAGCCATAAGATCCAAAAATATAGCTTTACCCAAGTTGAGATGGAGACAGACCAAAGGAAGGAGAAAACTCACCATATCGTGGTCACCATCTCCCTGCACGTTTGTCTGAATGTTTAGGTTTCACCGCATAATAGGCTCGTTTGGGACACATAGGCCTCTTTCGTGCCAGCCTCCTCCTGTGTGCTTGATCCCAACCGACAACGTCCCAGAGCTGGCCTTCTCCTCCTTTGCACCCAGGCCCCATGCCCAACCTGCTATTTTGAGCAGGAGCGTGGCATTAATGGCTTTTGTTTTCATACCATGGATGACTGTTGCTGTGCCAAAATTGAAGTACAAAACATGGAAGCAGCAGTAGTATTGCCGTGTTTAGTTCTAAAATATTTCTTCAAACTTCCAACTTTTCCATCACATCAAAACTTTCCTACACACATAAACTTCCAACTTTTCCGTCACATCGTTCCAATTTCAACCAAATTTCCAATTTTGGCGTGAACTAAACATAGCCTATGATGTACATTTCTGCACAAAAACGGTGACACATCAAGGTTGTTCAGTGAAACCTGGATATATTTGTGGGACTGCTGTGTGTTACGCCTGTGCTGGATGAGCCACAGTGAAGGCGGGATTCAGAAATGTGTGATCAAGTAGCAGAGACGTATGAAGTGGGTGTGTTGAGTTTAGACGCTAATATGTGGGACCGGGGGTTGTTGAGTTGTGTGTGAGGCGTTATAATATGTGGGACCGGGGGTTGTTGAGTTGTGTGTGAGGCGTATATAACGCCAGCCTGTAAGCGTGAGACAATCTATCGATGAAATGGAAAAATATTCCCCGTCCTCTGCTTCTCTCTCGTGTGCTCTGCTTCTTTCTTCTTCCTCACGCCTCTGAATTCAGTTGGATCTCCGGCAAACTTCGCCGCCGGCAATCGGGGTTGTAACAACTTGGTATCAGTTGCTTTCGGTCCTGTTTGCTCCCTCGCACTCTCTCGACCGTCTGGTGGTAATTCCTGTGGCCGAGTTGGTGGCTGACCTCCAGGTTGCGCCGCCGTCAATCTCGTATCTGGTTCGCCAGGTTTGGAGTAGGTGACGCAACGGCACCCGCGAAGCAAAGTGTTCAGGTCCGTCAAATGGTGGCGGCGATGGAGGTGATGGAGGCGCGCGTCATGGAAGTGTTGACGAAGTTGGCGGGGAAGGTGGAGGGCATGGACGTCATCACCAATCACTTGGGGGAGATTGACGCCAAGCTCGTCACGCAAGGGGAGCGGCTGGATCGGGTTCAAGCGAAGATGGATCTCTCGATTACTTTGTTGGGTCAGGTTCAGCAAGAGCAGTCGCGCCCTGAAGGCGGTAGCGGCTGCTCCAGGGCCGGAGGCGCCATCAATTCCATCGCATCGCCAGCCGCCGTTGCTGGAGACTCCGCGAGGGGCATTTGCGGCGTCTACTTCGACGGCACCACCTCCGCCACCGCCGCCGCCTCCTCCGCCGTTTCTGCGTCGGTTGCGTAGGTATCGGGTTCCCCTTTGCCTCATACTTCTGTTGAGGGTGGGGATTCGGCGCCGCGGTGCCAATGGTCGCCTAAGATGGATTTTCCCCGTTTTGATGGTACAGACGTGAGAGTGTGGCTGGATAACTGTGAAACTTACTTTGGGTTTTATCAAATCGCTGAGGGTTTTCAAGTTTCTGCCGCTTCTCTGAATATGATTGGGGATGCCGCTAATTGGTATCAAGCATGGAAGTTAGAAATAGGTGTACATGATTGGGCCACTTTGAAGGCATTAGTCTTAACTGAATTTGAGGTATATTTGCAAAATGTGAAGATGGATGAACTTTTGTTGTTGCATCAAACTGGTTCGGTGACTGAATACCGTTTCAAATTCAATCAGCTGGTTTATCAGCTTAGACTCTATGATCCATTGTTGTCTAATACATTTTTGATTCGTCACTTTTTGTTGGGACTGAAAGATGAGTTGCGATCAGCTGTGCAGGCTCATGAGCCCACTACTGTGAATCAGGCATACTTGGTGTGAATCAGGCATACTTGGTGGCTTTGGCTCATGAGTCTGCTCTGTCTGGGGCTGGTACTAAGAAGGTGCATGTTAAGAAGGACCATCTTTCTGTTAAGAATTATGATAAACCTAAGTTGGCACCGGGTGAATTGTGGAAGGCTCAGCAACTTAAGGAGTATCGTCGTGCTCAGGGACTATGTTTCAAATGTGGGGATAAATATGTTCCTGGCCATGTTTGTGCAAAGACTGAACCTGCTCAGTTGAAAGCTATTCAGTTGCAGTCCGACTCTGAAGTTCTTTCTGATGACTTGTTGGATGTTATCACTGCTCTGGATATTTCTGAGACTTCTTCTCATCTCTCTTTACATGCCTTAGCTGGCACTTGCAATAGTGATACAATTCAGTTGCGTGCTTTGGTTCAAAATCAAGTGGTTATCATTTTGGTGGATTCAGGCAGCACACACAGTTTTATTGATGCTGGATTGTGTGACCGACTGCATTTATCTCCTGATATGATTCAGTCTACTGTTGTCAGGGTGGCCAATGGTGATACTGTCTATTGTACAGCTAAAATTCCCCAGTTTACTTGGTGGGTTCAGGGTTATGAATTTTCCTTTCCTCTGAGAGTGTTACCTATGGGTGGGTATGATGTTGTGCTGGGTATGGACTGGTTGAGTCAATTTAGCCCGGTGACATGTGATTGGGCTGCTAAACAGTTACAGTTCTCTTACAAGGGTTCTCCGATTTCTTTGCAAGGCATGTCAGTCCCTGATTCAATTGGTCCTGTCAATGAAGTTTCTGCTGTTCAGGTGTTAAAGTGGACCAAGGGCAATGATGTTTGGGCCGTGGCAGTAGTGGAACAATCTTCTGAGGTGATCGCTCCCTCCTCTAGTTTCCCTGAAATTCAGGCTTTGCTGCAAGAGTTTCAGTCTGTGTTTCAGGACTCTACTACTTTACCACCTCACAGGGTGTTGGATCATACTATTGCCCTGGTTCCAAATGCTGTACCTGTGAATGCTCACCCGTACAGATACTCTCCAGCTCAAAAGGATGAGACTAAGCGTCAGGTATCTGATATGTTAGCAGCAGGACTAATCTCCCCAAGTTGTAGCCCCTTTGCTTCTCCTGTGCTGTTAGTTAAGAAAAAGGACAATTCTTGGCGTTTTTGTGTGGATTACCGACGGTTGAATTCTCTTACTGTCAAAAACAAGTTTCCTCTACCCATTGTGGATGAGTTGCTTGATGAGTTACCTGGCACAAAATATTTTTCCAAATTGGACCTTCGCAGTGGTTATCATCAGATTAGAATGTTGGAAGCTAATGAGTTTAAAGCTGCTTTCAAGACACATGATGGACATTTCCAATTTCGGGTCATGCCTTTTGGTCTCTCCAATGCCCCAGCTACTTTTCAATATCTCATGAATTCCATCTTTGCTCTTTTTTGCGCAAGTTTGTTTTAGTCTTCATGGATGACATTCTTGTTTACAGTAAATCTTGGGCAGAGCATCTCCACCATCTAAGATGTGTTTTGCAGTTGCTCCAAGAACATCAACTTTGTGCCAAACTGTCAAAATGTTCTTTTGCCACACCTCACTTAGAGTATTTGGGACACATAATTTCAGCTGTTGGGGTAGCCACTAACCCTGATAAGATCCAAGTAATGTTGCAATGGCCTGTGCCCACCAATCTTATTGAGCTAAGAGGTTTTTTGGGACTCACTGGTTATTATAGGAAGTTTATTAAGAGCTATGGCATTTTAGCTAAACCCTTGACAGTACTGTTACAGAAGAATTCCAAATTTGTGTGGTCTGACACTGCTCAGCAAGCATTTGATGCATTGAAACATGCTATGACATCTGCTTTAGTGTTGGTATTACCTGATTTTGCCAAGTCATTTGTTATAGAAACTGATGCTTGCTCAACAGGTATTGGTGCTGTTCTCTGTCAAGAGGGGCATCCAGTGGCTTTTTACAGTAAAGCTTTGGGGGTCAATAACCAAAAATTATCCATTTATGAAAAGGAGTTTTTAGCCATCATGATGGCGGTTGATAAATGGAGGCCATATTTGTTAATAGGACCATTTACAATTAAAACAGATCACCAGTCCTTGTGCCATTTGGATGATCAAGTGCTGGTTTCTGAACTCCAAAAGAAGGCTATGACTAAGTTGATTGGTTTGCAATATAAATTTCAGTATAAGAAGGGGTCTGAAAATAAGTCTGCTGATGCTCTTTCTCGAGTGGGTCATTTCTTCTCTCTGCAAGCCATTTCAGTAGCTCAGCCAGTCTGGATACAAGTGGTGGTGAATTCATATGTTGTGGATTCTTAGGCTCAGGCTCTATTGGCTGAATTGGCAGTATCATGGCTTGATTAGGAAGAAAGACCGGCTATAGTTGGGAAGCAATTCTGCTCTGAAAACCAAAATTATTTCTACTTTTCATGACTCGACTATTGGGGGTCACTCGGGAATATTGGCTACTTATCAACGGGTCAAAAGGCTGTTTGTGTGGAAAGGTCTCAAACATGCTGTTGAAGAGTTTGTCCAACAATGCACTGTGTGTCAACAAGCCAAACATGAACACTGTGCTTATCCAGGGTTATTGCAGCCTCTTCCAATTCCTTCTGGGGCATGGCAAGACATTTCCATGGATTTTATTGAGGGCCTTCCAGTCTCCAAGGGTTTTGATGTCATTTTGGTTGGTAGATCGATACACCAAGTATGCACATTTTCTTCCCTTGAAACATCCTTTTTCTGCACTTCAAGTGGTTGACAGTTATTTAAGCAGAGTAGCTTCTTTGTATGGCATGCCCAAGTCGATTGTGTCGGATAGAGACAAGATTTTCACAAGTCATTTTTGGCAGAATATGTTCAAAAGGTTTGCTATCCCTTTGAATCTCACCACTGCATATCATCCTCAGTCTGATGGACAGACTGAGCGTGTGAATCAGTGCCTTGAAATGTATTTGTGTTGTGCTATTGCTTCTACTCCCACTAAGTGGTCGACATGGCTTCCTTTGGCTCAATATTGGTATAACACCAGTTTTCACTCAGCCTTGAAGTGTTCTCCACATCGCGCTCTTTATGGTAGTGATCCCACTTATGGTATTCTGTCTGCTCTACCTGAGTCTACTGATGAAGCTGTCACTGATGCAGATGTCCTCCTGAGAGAGTGTGATCTGTTTTCTTCTATGTTACAGCACCATTTAGCTCGTGCTGAAAATCACATGAAGCAGTTGGCTGATTCTAAACGCACTGCTCGTCAATATCAAGTGGGGGATTTGGTGCTTCTGAAGCTGCAACCTTATGCCCAGCGTTCTGTGGTTTCTCGCCTATTTCCCAAGTTGGCTTTCAAGTACTTTGGTCCCTTCGAGATTCTGGCTGCGATTGGGTCGGTGGCTTATAAACTCAAGTTACCTGAGGATTGTCTCATCCATCCCGTGTTTCATGTTTCTCAATTGAAGCCCTTTATTCCGGATAACAAGCCTGTGTTTTCTCTGTTACCGACTGCTGCTCAGTTGGATATTGCTGAATTACTTCCTTCAGAGATTTTGGACTGGGCACATGGTGAAAAAGGCAATGCTGCGGTGGTTCAGATTCTGGTGGGTTGGGGCTCTCTTCCTGCTGCTTTGGCAACCTGGGAGGATTTTGATGTTGTTCGCACAAGATTTCCAGATGCTGTCGCTTGGGGACAAGCTCCAATTCCAGGGGGAGCAACTGTTACGCCTGTGCCGGATGAGCCACAGTGAAGGCGGGATTCAGAAATGTGTAATCGAGTAGCAGATACGTATGAAATGGGTCTGTTGAGTTTAGATGCTAATATGTGGGACCGGGGGTTGTTGAGTTGTGTGTGAGGCGTATATAACGCTAGCCTGTAAGCGTGAGACAATCTATCGATGAAATGGAAAAATATTCTCCGTCCTCTACTTCTATCTCGTGTGCTCTACTTCTTTCTTCTTCCTCACGCCTCTGAATTCAGTTGGATCTCCGGCGAACTTCGCTGCCGGCGATCGGGGTCGTAACACTGTGCTGTGAAGAAATGTATTTGCTTGAGCACTAATTTTTTTTCCAAAAATGTATTCATGATTGGTTCACTAATCTAAGGGTATTTATATTGTTATTTCCCTCACAATCAAGAAATTGAATAAAAGAGGGGAGCAGGTGATAAATCAATAAATTGACATCAACTCATTTGTAGCAAGTACAGAATTATTGTCTCGTTTCATGTAGCTGTAGCACTAACTGAGACAAATCTTCTGGGGTTTGAAGAGAGCAACAACTTGTTAACATAGTTTTGATTCATATACTTAAGAGCTTCCATCTTGCCAATATATTAGTTCATAGCAATTTGTTTAAAGTTCTGTCACTCTTTTGGATAGACTCTGAACTCTGAAGTAATATTTTCTGTTGTACATCAAAATATATTATAAGAACCATTTAGTTTCAGATATTTTCAGATATTGATGGTAGCCCTCCTTTTTGTCATGTCCCACTTGAAATTCATGAACACGATGGATAAGATGCATGGACTACTTACATTTTTTTTTGTCAATGAAATGTAGGCCATGCCTCGGGTTACTGACAGATCAAAGCTCCCTAACATAATTGACAATGATCAAGAACACAATGGATCTGAACCAAGGAAACTGATCACAGATGCATGCTACTAATCACATATGTATGTACTCCACTAAGCAAGAATATAGGGTCATTGATAATATGTTATTCGAAATAAACAGTGCAATGATGGAGTATGAAACTGTGTCAGTAAAAGGAAATGAACCTGCTGCGAGGACTGCTCTGACGGATACTAAAACGAACGGAGGTGGCGTGGGTACCGCCGTGGGGATCCGTTCAGGCAATCGATCAATGGCGGCGGGATGATCGGGCGCAGCAGGTGCCCAATGAGCAAGAGTTCCCCAAGGCAGCCCCGACGGCAAAGGGGAGGATCAGCGGAATCAGTCACACTGGATCCAGTGCCGGCGTTCAGCGACGGTCAAGCTAGGCATGGAGTTGCAGTTGCAGCGGACAAATTAAGCAAATCCAGAGTAACCAATCCTAGCACAAATTAAAGCTTCAAAGTGTAGAGTAAATAGAGACAGGTAAAGCAATGTGCATTACACTAATTCTGCTAAGCACCGATAGGAGCAGCAGACAAAATTTGAAGGGGAACAACTACATTGGTCTCATCAGGTAATAGAGCAAAGAGAAGTTAAGGGGACACATGCGAGTGGAACCCAAAGTGCTCACCAGACGTGTGGATATGGCGCTGCGTCGAACGCCGTCTGGTCCAGAGAGGAATAAGGCCATAAATGATGCAAAGAAAAGCTGAATTTTTTTTCACATATATGACTATCAAAATCAATTGTATCTAATAAGTAGATAAACCGGAATTGTCTATGCCATATTATTATCTATCACAATAGTCTGCAAGGCTGGTGAAATTGAGCTACGGTTGGAGATGAGGAATGGGGCGTGGTGGGCAGCGGCAGAAATATTATATTGCGAAGGCACCAGAGAAAAAACAATTGGCAGATGTTTGTTACTGCATCACATTGATTTGTACAATTCTGAATCATTTTTTTGCACGATCATAAAAGGACAGTCATTTATTCAACCCGTTGATATGTTGATTTCGAAAGCAGTGAACCAGCAAATAAGAGGGAAGTTCATCTGTCGTTGAATTGCTCACGACTTGTGATAAAAATCACAATCGGAAGATTCAAAAGTAAAGGGGTAATGCCATCAAAGAAAAAATTACTTGGAGATACAATGGATGTTATTCCCTGAGTAAGCATTAAATCGATCACCTACCGTACAATGTGCAAATGAGCATGGGAACTGAAAAGGGGAGGTGGCTTGATATTGAAACTGACAATATGTCGTGAGGTTTAGGGAAGTCAGTGGCAGCTACAAGTCATTCCAATCTGAGGCTTGGCAACATGGTGAATTTGTATTGCGACAGTAGGAATGGCAAGATCCTGTTTAGCAAAGAGAGGGAAGTAATTCTTACTCTTCTAAGTGCGAATTTGAGAAATCAAATTGGAACAATGGTGGAACCGTGGAACTAAGAGTCCACCTGTCTTTGTCGACCGCGTCCATGGAAGACGCAGCTGTTCTGCGAGGCACCGCATGACAACGGAGCCTACAAACAGAGGTGAGAGTATGAGGCCCAGGGCGATGGTGGCTTTGGCTCCCCAGCCGGCCGCCGCCCTGATCAGCATGGCACTTGATCCCCTCTTCAACCTTCTCCAACGCCGTCTTCGATATATTCGTGGCGGTGAAGAAAGAGGCCGCCGTTGCAGGAAGTCTTCCTGTCGCGCCGTATGACATATGCGGCGGGATCGGCCGTGGACAGGAGCGGTCGATGGTGGGGCGTCTAGACACCGGTGACTGGAAGCCGCCATCGGCGGCATTCAAAATGAGGCGAGGCGAGGCGCCGGTGGCAGTGCGCTGAGAAAGAGCGGAGTTAGGGTTTGAGGGGGATTGGGCGTGCCGCGCGCGGGGATGAAGGATTCGGAATCCGGAGGCGCGGCCGTGCCCGGGGTGGAATGAGCAGATCAATATGGGTCGTTAGATGGATTTGACGCAAATGAATACGAATAGTTGGATTTGATGAATGAAGGACGAAGGATGTAGAACTGCGTTGGTGAATTACATGGTAGATTAAAGTTGAGGGGTCTATTTTAGACAGAGGTGATAATTGAGGGGGCAGAATGGATTTATCCTAAAAATATTATGATTCGTCCAGAAGATAAAGTAGGTGAAAAAATTAAATGAATGGAATTGTGATTGGTTGAGAAGAGAAAGTAGTAGGAAAAGAACTTGCTATATTTTATACTTAAAAATTGTTATATTATGACACAGGGAGTAAGTATGCTCGAAAACACATCTAGAATAAAAAAAAGCGTCTCTTAACTATAGCTATATACTTATATAGTTCATCCCCACTAAGTGTAGTTAATGATATTTCTCTCTTCTCTCATTAAGCCACATCACCTCAATTATTTCTAGCCTTTGGATGATAGATATATGGTCCAAATTGTCTCTTCTTTTTTTTCTCTTTTAAAAACATGCGATCTCAATTACTTTTAGATTCAAAATTTTATCAAATTGTTTTTAGTTTTGTACATATTATACAACTTAATTTTCCGCAACAACGCGGTGGGGTATTCATCTAGTTTAATTTATGAAGGGCTAACAATTTGCTAAAGCATATACAAGCCAGACGAGTTTTACCGTAAAGTAAATTTTCTATATACCCTTGGAAACTCACTCAATGTATTTCAAATATATCCCTAAAATTTACCTGATCCCTTCTATACCACCGAAAATTTAACTTCATCCCTTTCAAACCCCTTCCATGAGTTGACCGTCTAATTTCTATAAAACTGATCATTTTACCTTTATACATGGATGAACATAAAAATTTATGAATTACATTGTTGAAAATATAAAAGTTTGTCGCATGAGTTTACTGCACAACACATTTTTTATGAAAAAAAAAATTTTTAGACAATGAAATAAAAATATGTATTTATTTTATTTATTGGAAAGTCATAAAAAAATGAGGAGCATTCATATAAAGATGGGGCTACTAATGCTCATGATATTTTTTTTTATGGATGCTCCTTATTTTTGTATGAATGCTCCTGATAAAAAAAATATATTCCATTGTCCTATTAAAAATTAAATTTATTACATTTGTTTTGTTCTCAAAATTCATGTTAAAATTTTCTGCACTATTTTTTTCGTCTTATTAGTTTCATAAAATGCACATATTGTGCACTCAAACAAAATTTTCAATCGGTTTTCAAGTTTATATTCAAACCTACGTCATCAAGGGCATAAAAGATATTTGCAACAAAACATAATAGTGAAATGAAGAAAAATGTAACGGCAGGGATATTAAAAGGATCAAATTGTAATTTCGAGAATATAGAAAGAATCGTGTAATTTTAAAAGTATGAGATGGATCGATTGAGTTTTCAATGGTATCCGAAATTTACTCTTGACCATCCGTAGTTGTTTGATTCAATACAATAGTTGTGATGTGTATCACTTCCTTAAACCTTACCCCTACTGAGCATTTATAATTACCAAGAAAAAATTGCCAAACGAGTACAGTTAGTTATTTCAGTATATGTGTGCCATTACGGCATTACATCGTTCTAGACAGGGCAATATATTTCCGGGCATGAGCAAAAACTGCTATCATGCCTACCAGTTCTTTTTAGGAACACGCTACAAAAGCAGGTGCTCACAACACGTGCACACTCACCTATATAAACGCGTGCGCACACACCCTACCTTCATGAGTACCTCCAAAAGACCGGGTTAGGATATCTTGAAATTAACAAAGTCATCGCTATCAGAGATACATCGTTTATCATCGAAAGAATAATTAACCATAAATACGAGCTCCCATGTCAAATGGACTTAAACCAAGATGAGCAGGTTCCACCACAAGGAATCTAACCAGTTGAGCTATACTCACTTCGCAGAGCCCACAAGTTTTAATACAAACTAAATTAAGTTGTGACAATTAATTTGTGGTAAAAAAAAGGAGAAAACCTCATATTATCTTCATATAGATAAGATACAAGACAGAAGGAGGCTCATGATTCTTACCAAATGATCAATCATCCGAGCGATGATTATATAATTAGCTAGGCGCCACCTGCAACAAGATGGGGAGCAAATGGAGCTGGAAAAGTTTTGATGCATTGTCACGACCTGAACAAGATCATGATAATAATATACATTAACTTGCTTGGGGTAATTCAATATGTCAATCATATATATATAACCATCCATTTTCACGTGGAATAATTCCAACACCAATAAATTTCTAGGGATCGGAAGTCCGAAACGGGGTGAATTCATTTTTATTTTCTAAACTTTCTTTAGATAAAAAATAATTAAAATTAAAACACCCTCATATTCTTTTTCCATATCTAAATCTTTTTTGTCACGACAATGTGAGTGAATAGTGATGGCATCTCAACAACACTACCGGCCGATATGACATTTTATTGTGGTTTCGTGGAGTACAAGTACGTATTGTGTTTGGCTAAGCTACAAATGATTTATATTTAAAGCCGACACCTATGATATATAGATGTCGGTTCCTAATTTCTTGGCACATATTGAGAACCGAAAATCGTTGGGGAGAGATCAACTCACAAGTGTTGGTTTCTAAGGAGAACCGGCACCAATGCAGCGCTGAGGTTCCCCTACTGGGTGTTATGTAATAGTGGGTAGTGAAGGAAAAAAGAAATCATGACACTGTTTAGGTACTATAGATAATAGTATTATATTCTATTTACCTGAAATTTGTCTTTTTTGTTACTCTTAAATAAAGTTAAGTTTGAACTTGAAATTTGGTGAGAATGTATTTAATATCTGCACCTATCTCTGGTATTTTTTCCATGAATTTACGAAACTTTTAGGTATGATTTTCACGAGTTTCTAACACTTAGCTCATTATCATCGGATATATCCCTTGTATATAATAGTTTCTTAAAAAGAATATCATAGCTTATTTATTAATTTTGATAAGAGTAAAATATGCTAATGATATATGAACTTAAGAGAGCACATAATCTAATGCACAGACATAGACGCCTGCTCCAGTGCACAAGCAATTTAATGCTTAATTGTTAACTGTTATCTAATTTGAATATATAGATACTTCATCCATCCTATAAAAAAAATAACTTTTATATACGAATCTGGACATCATGAACAAATTAATATTGACTTTTTTAGATGTAGGTAGTAGAGTTGAAGGGAGGAGTAGCCCAAAATATAGAAATTTGCATTGCATTTTCTTGAATTTGAGTAAATGAAAATAATTTATCAGCACTGCACTACCGCCTCGATACTTAAAAGTTCATGCAACATAAAGTTAGGGCCCCTTTTGTTAGAGTGTATGGTAGTTAGAGTCATACTACCTCCGTTTTTTAATAGATGACGACGTTGATTTTTTCTTACATGTTTGACCATACGTCTTATTCAAAAATTTTATGCAAATGTATAAGATATAAATCACACTTAAAGTACTATAAGTGATAAAACAACTCATAACAAAATAAATTATAATTACATAATTTTTTTGAATAAGACGAATGGTCAAACATGTGAGAAAAAGTCAACGGCGTCATCTATTAAAAAACAGAGGGAGTATTAGGATAGGATTGGTTTATTTGGATTCCTTCCATATATGTAATCCTTCCTTATCTCCTCCCCATATACTCCTATATATATCGGCCCCCAGAGGCTCAATACAATGTGATCCACGTTACGCGGTATTCCTCTCCTATACTGTCACGCCCAGAAATTCACAAACCAGAATTTCTAAGCTGAATGTGCATTAAACCCCTGTCCAGGACCAGCCAGGGTACACAAACGACAATTGTTGACATACAGATCCACGTCTTACAAAAATAAAAGATTACAAATGCAGCGGAAAAAGATAAAAGCGAGCTAAGCCTGAAGGCTTGACTCCTGCAGCGGGCGACTCCATTCCACAGGCATCCTTGACGGCAGCGACGAAACCAACCTCTTCGAGACATCTTCAACTGAGAAGGACTTCAACTCTGGTGTGGGGGAAAAGAGAGCAAGACTGAGTACTACCCACTGTACTCAGCAAGTCATACCGGAAGAGGAGGTATGATGCAAGATATATCCAAGGGAGGCTAAAGATTCTTTTGCATAAAGCCGGCATTTCAAAGCAGTAGTTGAAAGCAGTAAAACAGTAGTAGTAATTAATCCATATTAACCAATCACTGTCCAACGTTACACCACGTTGCAACAGGCCCAAACCACCACCTGAACTAACCAGTTCCAAAAGCTAACTAGGGTGAAACTAATCACGGTGAATCTGGTCGACCGCCCATAACCGCGGGCACGGCTATTCGAATAGCTTTACTCTGATCAGAGGTGTACAACTGTACCCACAAGACACAGCCCCACGACACGTTCCCGTGCGCCGACATGCCACCACGACATACCGAAAAGAGGCCGTGACAGGACCCTTCGCATAACCCTCTCTAACCGATCGCACCACACCTTAGGGTTCGCCCCCGTCCCCAGCAGGCAACGGGCAGCCCCCCTTTCGTGCCGCGGTGAATCCGGAAGCCGATCAACCGGACACCCCGGCCGACCCAACTCCATCACGCCCACCCTCGCCTGGGTACGTCGGCTAGAGGAAAGCTACACTACAAGCCCAGCCGTTGCCCACGCTGGCTTGTGGTAAGTACGATAAGTTCTTCCAGGGCATCCCGCGAACCGGTCCTTAATCGCCATGGGCACGACTAGCAAAACCATGCACCCACAGCCCACCGTGTAGTGTATTTTAATTAACCAACACCAAAGCGGTGGCACTAATCCAAAGCTATTGCTAATAAACAAAGTCTATGCTTTAATGTGATCCCCTTTTGTGCACTAGTTGAACTAAGCAAGGCTAAGCATCTCCTAAACCAACATCTAGTCATTTTAATACCCACGTTATCAATGGCATAAGGTAAGCAACATAAAGCTGAGTAATAGGACCCATCCCACATGATATT